GGGGGGGGGGGGAAGGGAGAGCGAGAGAAGGATATCGTAGCTGCGAGCTACGTGGTCGTGCCATGTGTTTGGAGCGTCAGGCAACCAGACACGTTTCTCGAGACAAGTTCTTGCTGTCTTATTTTATCCGAACGAACGACCGTGCACCGAATCGTATTCACTTTTCTGTTTTACGGATTGTCCTGAGAGACCGGTTTGACGAAAATCCACGGAGAATGGGGGAAAGAAAAAGAAAAAGAGAAAGGGAGAGAAGAGGAGTAAGACCTAAAATAATAACGCGATAATGACTGGCAGGACAGTGCAAACGTCTGATTATTTTGCCGAAAGTGGTACACCTGCTCGAATGTCCATATCGATAACTTCAAGTCTCGGTAATTCGACGGTGGTTTAAATATCGACAGTCATGGCCTTACAATCTTGATGCAGTCGCGGGAACTCTATCGAGTGACAATTAACCGAGTCAATCGCCTGTCCAATTTTCGCGCAGACGATCGAATAAAGAGCGTCCGCGGAGCAGACGACGTGAAGGGTGATGATGATGCCGGCTTACCGAAACGTCAAGGTGGTGAAAGGTCGGTAACTCTTGTGGCTGTTGATGCTCTCCATCGGCGTGCCCCAAAAATCGTCGTTGAGCACGCTGCTCCACGACGCCTTACCGATCACATCCCGGTTTCTCACCACCGCCGGTATATCGTCGTGCACAAAGTCGCAATCGAGCGCGTTCAGATAACAACCGACCGCGACGAGCGCGACAGCTGCGTAGATGCACCAGCCCGGTGGCTCGTTCACTTCAGTCCCGTTGCAACCTCCGCGTCCGTTTCTCTTGGCCGTCTGGCAGAAGCAGGAGGAGCCGTTGTTCCGTCGTCTCATGTCGCTTGGCACTCGCTTCGACACCACGCACGAAATGAGCTCTTCTCACGTTCGTCCGCGGGCCTAATGCGCGCGTTCACCCGCATGAAGCCGCGACCGTTTTTTTCGGCGCACCGTTATCTGCGGCGCCGCTGATTGCGCCCGGTATGACTGCACTGATCGCGGTCGTAATCAGCTGACTGTCGCATCTCTGAGGCGAACGCGCTCGACACGGTCGCCCTGAATCACTTCGCGTCCCAAGACTTGCTCAAGACTCACCGCGAAGAGAAGCCGCTCGGCTCGCGAATTCTGGCATTACCCGCAGTGCGTCTCGCACGTTTGCCCGTTAACTCATCGACGACGACAATCTCCCGAGTAGATGCAAATCATGACCGGCGATATCGTCCCACCACGAAGTCCCGGACGAATCAACGGGACGATGTGGTCTCCTCGTGACGGTAAAGCGACGCTTGTCGCCGTACTAACCGGTGCCTCGCGTTAAACCCTGCCATTTAGCACGACGACGATACCCCGGACATTCGTTCGTCTCACGGTGAACTTGATAAATGGCTGCGGGGCTTCATTATTTACCGGGGCGGCCGGGCGTGTTCCAGATGAAGGGAAGCAAAGAACAGGTCTCGCGCGCGCAAGCCACTCACTCCACGGGCTCGGGTAATAGCCCTCGCGTGGACCTTCCGCTGGGATTGTCCCCGTGGGAGTCCAGGCGGATTCTTTTTTACGTAACCGCGTAACGACGTAACAGCTCGTTACCGCGCGAACGGTATCGGGTCGATTCACGCCCTCGCCGGCCGCAAATCACTGATCCGCACCGATCATTACGGTTACTCCTGGCGGGAACGAGCTGCGATATATACTTATAGCTCGTGCTTATCTACCGTCCCGGCTAAGTGGCATTAACGCGACGGCGTTCCGCGGCCTGCAACTTCCTACTGCCGTAGCTCGCGTGTCTGATATCTCGCACAACTCTTGATTTACACGGTGCACTGTCGTCCGTTCTGTGTCCAAACGGATCCTCTTGAACGCGAAACGCGACGGTGTGCGTCTCCTGCGACGCTCTGATCTTACGTTCGTACTCAACGGTATCATTCATATCGATCGCGAAACGTTGCGCAGTGAACACACACTGCGAGATGCATCGTGTCCGTTTGCACGGCGGGGGAAGACGAGCGTGAGAACGCGCGTCGCGACGCGCCCGTTGTTTCTATTGGCCCGAATTGGCGAGGCTCTCGAGCACGCCAAGTCCTCCTCTCGCTGATGGATCTCCACTTTTTTCGCTGCATTAAGGGAACTTGGCGAAATTATGAAGAACGGCTCGCGAGATGCCGAGCAGCGGGTGGCTGTGTGACCCAGATACACGACGACGTTGTAGCCGGGGCTGTCGCTCTGTCGCCACAATTTTACTGTGCATATAGATCTATACAGGCGACCCGTATCTCGCCGGGGGCACGGCTTGAAATCCTCCGTTGCAGCACCTTCACCAACCCCCGGTTACCACTTTCCCACCTCTTCGCCGACGACGCCGCCGCCGCTGTCCGCCACCACTTGGCCGCTGCTTCTTCCGCCTGTTCTTCGCTCTCCTCCGGCTCCCCCCGCTTCCCGCTCGCCGTTGAATTCAATCCCTGGAGCCGGCTATCACGATAAATTTTTTTCCTCCCTCCTCGGTTTCGCCTGGTCCTGCTAACCCAGAATCGAACTTTCGACGCCCGGGCGATCTCACTGGTGGGCTCTCTCGCTGCTCGCCTACGGCGAGATGACACTCGAGTGAGAAGTCGGAGGCGTTCTCAACGCTCAAGTGGTAATTGGTGAACGTTCCTCGACGAATTTTGCTTCGTGTCCGTTCACGCTGTTTCGCACCTGACTGCCGACGAATAAATGAAAGTACTTGGCGCGATAAAGAACCGAGCTCTGTTCAGAGATGTTCGATAACGTCAACCGCACGAACTTATCGAAATACTCTGCTCATGATGTAGTACAATGTTTCCGCAGTGCATTCATATCTTACCGATCTCTCTAAATGTTTTGCGGATATTTTATTTCTCTGCAATCTTCTCTCACGACTACCACACGAGGGTACGTGACTCGCGTCGAATGCGATCAAACGCAGAGGTGAAAGTGTAATTTCTTCACTGATCGGTAATATCGTCAAAGGTGACAACGACGCGCATCCCCGCGGACGAAACAACCCTCGGACAGGCACCTTCCAGACTATGTATCATCTAGTATCGGACACCCCGCCGATCGCCACGGCGTACGAATCGGTATGCATCGCGCGGCAGAGTCATCGAAACGTCACGGAACGATAACGACGTCGACATCGAGCTCGAGCGGGTCGTCACGACGACGATAAGCGCGAGACTAAGGGACGACGGCATCCGCCCGGTTATATACCCGACGCACTCTGACCCGCAAAGCCGCGCCCGCGCACGAGCCACCCCCGGGGGTTTCCCTCCTGCCTGCCTGCGTCCTCGTGCCTTCCCTTTCTTCTTCTTTCCCGTTCGCCGGCACCTGCCGTCACCCTCAACCTTGGACCCCACTGACGTCATGTTGTTTACTTATGGTTTACCTGCCAAAACATCACCCCCCCCCCTTCCCTGAAAACACGCTAAGGTCAAACGGAATGATCGAGGATGTCGGTTATAGGATATGACGACGATGCTTTTGATACTAAAACTAATTATTATTGAGAAGTAATTAATGAGAAACACACACATAAGTGTTCGTTTAATAACTATTAAAAATATCATGAGAGACGATATATATAATTATTCGTTTTATTATTTTTACTTTTAAAAAACATCTCTCTTTCTTTTATTTAGGATGTTGGGTCATTTTATATCTGACGTTTCCAATTACTTTGCTCTACAATCTTATTTGTTACTACTTGTTCTGCAGACCGAGCATTCAACGACATCGACTGTCTACCTCTATGGCTCCATCACGCGTTATTTAATTAGGAGCACTTTCGTATCTTACGACAATAAAATAACGAAGATGGTGCAGGCAATTCTTTATTATCTGTATTTCTCTTTATATCTTTTAGAAGATATCTAGAATCTAACAATTCAACGGACCACTGAATCAGTGAACATAATGACGATACGAGCTCGTTACGAACGATGATGGTATCATAACGAGCACGTAGTGGCAAATAGATGCTGTACTGTACAGTTAAATTTGGCTACATCACTAATATCGCTACGAATATATACGTTTATCCTATGAAATTACATCGTATCAAAACGTAATGATAATGTAATTTTGGTTAGGAACCATTATTAGAAATGAAGAAGACAAGTCACATTTACTTCATTCTAAAATACACGAGTGAATTTGATGAGTGGATTTATTTGTGGCATAAACGACAGTTACCAAGAAATTTCATATATGAAATTACGTAACGAGTCAGACTTAATTTTATTCAAGTGATATATTCATATGAAAAAAATATTAACTATATTCTGGGAATAAAATAAATTGTTTAAAGATATAAAATTGTGAAGATGTAGAAACAGATATAGAATTTATGAAGAGAGAAAAATAACTTAAAATATAAATATATCGAAATTTACATACAAAATTAGATATAAAAAATATATGTACAAAAATAAATATAAAAAATGTGTGTACAAAAATAGATATAAAATTACGAAGAGAAGGATACAAAAAAATAAAAAATATAAAAATAACTTTTGAAGAGAGAGATATATATAAATATATTGTAACGGTATTCAATACTTTTTTTACTAGTTACAATGGTCATGGACACGAAAAAGTTCTAGATACAATTATTCAGTTTTTAAATGACAATAAGATGCAATATTATAAAAATTTTTCAAAAACGTTATTTTTATTTTCAAATATCAAAATTATTTTTACCTTTTTAAATAGAACTATTCTCTTTTTTATTCGTAAAAGAATAAAAGTATAGTAAAAGGATCAAAACGAATTCAAAAATAACACATAATATTATTTTTATTAACATTTACTAGTGAAGATGTAGACAGAAAGTACGATAATGTTTGGAATACAACATAATAAATAATAAATAATGTTAGATGCTGAGAACATGCTCGAAATGTAATCCATTTTCTGTAAAGCAGAAAGCTCCGCCCTTTGTAATCAATTTTTACATATCGCATCAATTTAGATATTTCAATTTATGTTTTTGTATGTTTGTGTTATATGTTGTTGAAATTCTTCATTATTATTTTACTATGCTCTCTTCTGCCGTGAAATAATAATAAAGGTAACATTATGAGGTAGTATCGAATTTATTTTGATTTTCTCTTTATAATACCATACGGATAAAAGAAAATATAGTTCTATTTAAAAAAGTGACTTTGAAAAAGAACATTTTCGAAATTTATATCATTGTACTTTATAGCCCTTTAAAAGCTGATTAACTGCATCTAGAACTTTTTTTTTGTTTCATCATTGTAACTGGTAAAAATATAGTGGATACCGTTACGGTGAATCCTATATACGGAAATATGTATATAAAATTAGAAACCAAAAGTATTGTAAAATACATTGCATGGCGAATCACCTTTCTGCTACGATAAATTTATTCGTGAAAATCTCAAGACCATCAAGCAACGAAAGTATCGACATCGAGCCGCGGGGAAGGATCAGAATTTTTTACGCGGCTGATAAGCGAGTTTCGCGGGAAGTTATAATTGAGCGAGATACCGGCATTCTTCCGTTAAGGAACTTGATATTAGCGACATGACTGTCGCTCGAGTAATTCGCATAATGTACCCGGAGCTCGCAATTAATGATCATTTAGTTCGATGGCGCCGAAGTGGCCGTCAGTGGCAGGATCCGCGAGCGAGCGCACGAAACTTTAGCCGCCAGTACGCCGAACTTCCGTATGAATCCACTTTCGAACTACACAAGAATTTTTAATTACTGCCTCATAGAACGAAAAATGCCACTAACGTGTCAGGTTAATGACAGCGCCGTAGCCGAAGCATCAAAGGAACGCGGCCCGATTTGCAGCGCGACTTCAAACGGATTTCCACCGTCGTGGGGGAAGAACGTGCTGATTATTCGGGATAATTATTTTATTCGCGTCTGTACTCTTCATTCCCCACGCCGCCACGCGACAGTCATACCTTGCGATAAGGTCAAAATACCACAATGTCTGGGCTCTAATAATACTGGTAATACCTATATATAACTTTAAACATTTTTATTGTTTTGATTTTTAAATATGAATATTTAAACATTCAAAACGTAGAATATACATATACAGAGGATCTGGCATGGCAAAACCATACAAAACCATGTGTGAAGATAGAACACGTCAATTGGAGCACGAGGACTTCTGGTGTTTTGTAAAAAAAAAACACGTAAAATTTTTAATAATAAATAATAATAAACAATCACGTGAAATTATTGATGAAAATTTATTAATGATTAGTAAGTTATTAAGATGTTAATGAAAAAAGAAACCAGAACACGCGATATAGTGAGATGGACTTTATAAGCGCAAGATCTCATCGAAAATGGCTAAAATGTGACTACATTTTAGTATGGATAGATATCGATTGGTAGCTGAAGGGTGCGAGCGACGTAGAAACAATTGTTTTTCAATGTATTGTGAACGTGTTGTACGTGTGTAGCTAAGAAAGTCGCATTTCAGCTATTTTCGATAAAATCTCAGGCTAAACAAAACTCGTTCCTATAACATCTACACTTTGGTTCGCCGAACTTCTTTTTTTAATATCTCGATATTTCGTAGTTGTTTGCAAAGTAGTTGTTTGCAAAATGCTAGGGACCTTTGTGCCCAAGTTGACGTGCTTTACCTTTACACGTTATTTGATATGTCAGATCTTATATGTATCTTCACGGTGTCCAGCAACTCGCGGCGCAGTTACGGTGTACAAATAAAACTGGTTAAAATATTCAGAAAAGTTTCGTGCCATTTTGTAATATTTACTCTACTAAAACGCATAAACCAGTGATAAAAAGTGTACAAGAAAAAGTAGAATGGACTCTGTAGAGATATCTAATAAAAGTTATGTTTAATGATGGTTATCAAAATGTAAAAAAAATTACTTACTTTTAACGATTTTTTAGTAACGATGAGTAGCTGATGTCGGCGTACGACCGTGTGTCAAACGTCGCTCATTACTTCACTTCTCGAAATCAGCTGTTATTCATCGTTGCTAAGAAATCGTCAAAAATAAGCCATTTTTCTTATATATTGACAATCATTTTTTATTAGAAATTTCATTCTCAGATATTTTAGTTAATTATGAAGTAAAAATATTGCGAAATTTACAAAATGTGGTACAATTTTCCTGATTATTTTGACCTATTCTATTTATACACTGTGATTGCACCACAAGTTTCCGAATACTCTGTATATATTCTATAGTGTGCATATATATATATATATATATATATATATGTGTGTGTGTGTGTGTGTGTGTGTGTATTTTATATATAAAGTTTAAATATTTCTAAAGGGGGGGGGGGAATGCTAGGATCAAAATTTTTGCCGACAGAATACTGACTTTATTCTGCAAAGTTTACGTTGCATTGGCTGTATATAATTACAAATACTTTTATATAATAAAAGTATATGCGAAAATAAATTGGAGTATTATTCAATATATGAGAAAAACAATAAAAAATTTCAAAGTTAACATTTTAAGTGTAAATCAGCCTGTCAGACGCTGTCAGTTAAAGTAAATATTTGCCTGATACAAGAGATCTGTAGCTTGTATACTACTATGATCAAAAATTATCGGGAATAGTTAAAACGCAAGATTTGAATTTATTCATCAAAATTTATTTAATTTCCTTCAAAGTAATCCCATCCCACTACAATGCACTCATACTAACATTTTTTCCAATCCTCGAAACATGCTTTAAAGTCGTTTTCGTGAAACCCCTTTAAGACTCGTAAGGAATTTTCTTTTATGGCATCAATCGACTCAAAACGCTGACCACGAAGCAGAAATGTTAGTCGAGAAAACAGGAAAAAGTCATACGGTGCCATATCAGGTTAATACGGAGCTTGCGGGACCGTATTTGTTAAATTTTTGGCCAAAAATTCACGAGCAATAAGAGCATTGTTTGAATGAGCATTGTTTTCAAAATGACTCGAGAAGCAACGTGCCGCAAGCCCAAATGATCTTTTAAAATTGCTTGACAAGATCCAAATGATACTGGAATATGTTCAATAATGTCCCTAATTGTTAAACGACGATCATTGAGCACCAAATCTCTTGAATGTCACTGTCTCAACTGTCTCAACCTGTCACTTGAGTGACATGTTGCTCATCAGTTGAAGGGGATAGTCTACCAAAGCGTGGTTTATCTTC